TTCCTTATCCAATCAATATTTAAAGAGAAGAAATGCACATATAGCGTATCTATGTAGAAAACTCAGAATGCATTTATGACAACACTTTTGCTGCCTGATCAGTTGTTTAAAAGATCGAGATGAAATTTCATTTGGCTTTTCATAACCCAAAATTGCTCCAGCAAAAATCTCAAGAATCATGAAGAAAATACAATACACATCATTAGCAAAAATAGACAGGAAATACCTCCATGAGGGTGACACCCTTTGAGCAGTCAAACTACACGATGAAGAAATTCATCGTAGCTGAAATTAGATCAACTTGCTTTCTTTATAAGTAAACCTTGCGATCAAAGTCCCACTCCGGCAAATCATAGCACGGCAATGCTAGGTGAGGGAGCTGAGCTTCGCTTTCCACGATGTGAGAAGTACGAGAACGGACGCCGAGGAAGTTAGGATTAGAAACGACGTCGAAAGACTTGTAGTTTCGGATGACGTTGGCTTTGTCGCAATTCATTTCCTTCAATGTTTCGAAATCGAATCCCTTTCTGCCGTTGTTAAGCATCGATTCCACTTCTTTCACCATCATTTTCTCGACGCTTTGATGCTTCTAGAGCGGCCAAAACAACCCCGTCACAGCGGAGGAAGTGGTGTCTCTTTCGACCATTATGGAGCTGATCACCCTATCCCTCAAAGCTTCCTCTTCGTGGCCAGTTAATAACAGCCTGGAATGGAGATCTTCACCACACCCAACGACGGCAACACTTTTGGCTTTCGCTTCTTCGAGAGCCTTCTTTTTGCTCCGAATGATCTCCGAAGCACAGCCATGAACGAGCTCGACCGCTTCTGCTACTTCCATCGACCTCGACCATATTTTGGAAGACCCTAGTTACCGCACTGCCATCAACTGACATTGGGTGATGATTTTCCAAATCAAACAGTGGTGTAATTCCACTGCTTATTCCTCCACCTCCCTTTTGCTTTGTTATTACCCTCCTTAAAAAGCAAGAAGAAAGTGAGATTGGTTTTTTAGTGGGGGTAGTGGCCGATAATTATGGAGAGGTGGGTGATGCATGTAGTTGAGTTAATGGTAGGGGTAATGGTTTGTTGAAAAAAACCTGTAAAAGTAATATTAATAATAATATTATAATAATTAATAATAAATAATTATTATAAATATATATATATTTTTTAAATCTGGTCAAAAACGGGTGTCTACAGCTTGAAATGAAGTTTATGATGTGATTTATAAGGTTTGAAGTAAATTAAAAAAATAGAAATAATTATAGGCCAATTTTGGATAAAATATACTTTGAAGGACTAAGTGAAATTTAAATAAATTAAACAATACACATGGATCAAATTGAAACAATTGTGAAATTTAAAGATGATGTTCATATTAAATTGAACTAAATTGCATTAATTTTAAATTTGGGTGAACAAAAGTTTACAAGGACTCATACACACATACATACACACGCGAGTACATACATGCATGCAATTAATTGTTTTTTTATTTGTATATGTATGTATGTTTTGATGCATGCATGCATGCATATATATATATATATGACTGGTGAGACGTTCAACTTTCTTTACTAACTATTTTTATTTTTTAAATTTACTTCAAACACTGTAAAATCATATCATAAACTTCATTTTGAACCATATAAATTATATCATAATCTCTAAACCCTATAAATTTTTGTTCCCCAACTAAATAAATGAAATTATGTCTAATTTGATAGTTTCAGTTTTATTTTACGATTCTTTTAATTTTATCCCTACGTGATTTTTAATATTTAAAGTTTACTTTGTAATTCATGTTGTTCAATTTAGTCCTTAAAGTTATAATTTTTATTTTGTAGGCTTAAGTCTGGTTACAAACTCAAATTACAAGTCAGCCCACAACAAAATAGATCCAAGTCTGTTAAAGCCCAAGACCCGAAGCCCAACACACCAAGCCCACATAACATCCTAAAGCAATTAGGGTTCTAGATCCCAGTTATCCCGCCGCCGTCAGCCACTCTCGCCTCCACTGCTCATTTCCAATGAGCCAAGCCAAGGCGCTGCCACTGATCACCTCACTTCAGCCTCCCTGTTCCACCAACCACACCGTTCCCTGTTTATTATTTTATTTTAGTTCTTGTATTTATTGCCTATTTTAGATTTTGTTTATTTCAAGCTTGAATATTCATGTTACATGTTTTAATATATATATATATATATATATATATATATATATATATATATATATATATATATATATATATATATATTATGTAGTACCTTACATATGTATGTATGTTTTATATTTTATTATATTTTTAACTAATATTTTGAAAAGTTATAAAATGTTCTTTTATTATCAAATTTGTTATATATTTTACTCGAATATTTTCAAGAACATTCGTCGTAGAATGGACATGAAAAGCATCATTCTATAGGAGAAGTGTAATTTGACGATATTCAAACGAAAAGTGAACTTGATCAATTTTAATAAAAATGATCGTACTTTAATTTTTTACTCAAATTTGCAAGTTCCATTGTTACGAATACATATAAGCGATTAGGTATTTATTTTCGGGAGTTGTGGGGGTGCTTACCCTTCCTCACGCGTAATCGACTCTCGAACTCTTAAAAATGAATATTTTGGTAACACATACCACATTTTGTAGCCACGAATAGATGTGGCATAATAAAATCTTGTCGTATCCAATAATGGAATAATACAATCGTGTGGCTCATTATTCTCCACCCCTTGATGTCGAAAAGATTTCACAGTATCCTACAATGAATACAAACAACCTAAAATAAGATAATTTCATACAAAAAACTACATAATTAATTTTATAATAAATAAATTCATACAAGTTCATTTGACAAAAGACTAGTGATGTGTTCATTTTGTAATCTCAAGAGAGGAGTTTAATCTACCATTCTCCTAACAACTTCCATCAAATATTAGTAATAATTAACATGTATTTATAATAATCAAAATCAAATGACATTCAACAATTAATCTAAACATTAATTTAAACAAGAACAATTCTATCAAAAATAATCTAAATTAACTAACTGATTCAAACAAAAGCAAACAAAAAATCATCTATAATAATTTAATTTATAATTTCTCATACTGATTTTTTTTTGTTGCTCTCCGGTTTCAAGGTTTTGCTCTGACTAATGTGAACTCGACTCATGTCGCACACCTAATTTTGGTGTGTGAGTTTCCCAACAAAGATTTTCTACATACATAAATACTCGAACTTGAGACCTTGATTTAGTGATATCAAGTTACTTACCACTTGAATCAACCACTGTTGATCATACTGATTTATTCATATACATAACATATATATATATTTTTTAAATTTATGATGATAAATTCAAATAATATTTTAATATTTTATACAAATCATGTTTAAATTTCTTCTTTTTTTCATTTCATCTCGTATTTTATATAATTATTTTACTTAACAAATCATATTTATATTTACATAACATATATTTTGTTTAATTTTATCATTGTAATATAAAATTATAACTATATAAAAAAAGCTGCTGAAACACTCTGTTCACCGTTGCATCACTTTCCCGCCAGTCTCGTCTGACATGCGCCTGCGCCGCTGCAATTTGCAGGAAATTAAAAAGAAATGGAAACAATGAAGACGCCATATATTCTTGACTATTTTTTTTAATTAAAAAATATAAAAAAAAAATTATTTCAAATTAATTTGTGAACAGTTTAGACGTATTCTACTCTTGCCGTCCTGAATTTTTTTAATTCAAAATATTCTTTTAAATAGTGAAGACGCCATGATTTCAGTACATTCTTAGATTTACTGTAAGTTTTGCTATAAATTGAAAAATAAAAACAACAATGTTATATTTTGAAAAAGAAAAAATAAGCAAGTGGCAATTCAATTCCTTGGTTTTTAATTAACACTTTTGGGTGTTCTTGAATGTATTCATCAAGCACTTCCTCGCCATCAACGAGGTAAATATGTTGGAATTTGTTCAATCCTATCTATTTGATAATGTTGCGATGTTTTGTTGAAATTGTACGGTCATTTCGATTACTGTCCGAAACTATTTTTGCTGGAATTGTCGACTCTGTAATTTGCTCTATAATTTGCACTTTGTCTCCGTTCGTGATTCTTCGCACTGGGTACTGGGGAAGAAGAGGCTCTGACGGCGGAGATGGGGAGGTGTGGTGGGGTTGAAGGTAAGGGTGTATTTGGTTCGGTTTGATTTTTTATCAAAAATTGAATCGAACCGAAATAAATGGGTTTTCAATATTTAAACCTAAACCGAATAGTTAAAAACTCGAAAAAATCAAAACCGGTTTTTCGGTTCGGTTTTTTTAACGGTTCAGGTTTTTTCGGTTCGGTTCGGTTCGTTTTATCGGTTTTTCAATAAAAAAATCACTTGAAACTATAATTTTTTTTTACAAAAATTGCCTATTCGGTTTAATATGGAACAAATGGGTTCCATATGGAAAATCCGAACCGAATCAAAAAAATGAAGCCTTTAAACCGAATCGAAAATCAAACTGTTTAAAACCAAACCGAACCGAACCGTTTTATTCAATTCGTGTCGATTTTTCGATTTTCTCAGTTTCGTTGCTCAGCCCTAGTTGAAGGGTATTTTTTGGCATGTTATTTATTTTATCTTTTAATTAATTTTCATTTATTTAAATAAAAAATTAAAAGATGACGTGTATTTCAATTGGTTATTAATTTTTTTAATTTTATCAGTATTAATAATTTAGGACAAATGAATTAACGATTTATAGATAACGGTAGGTAATTCATAATTTTCGGATGTCTTTCACAGAAGTTGTTCTCATCCTAACGTTGTGGATAGTCTATTACTCTATCTTCCCTTATCTAATTACATATGAGAATAAGCTGATTGGTGTTTTAGAGATAATTCGATATAAATGTATAGTTAAGGAGCGAAGGTGTATTTAAGCCATTTTCTATATGCTCATGCTTGAATATAACTGAGATAGTAACCCTAGATCAATTCTCCATCCGCAACCTCTGTCACGCACTCACCTTTCCTTCACTCCGATACACAAAATCAGATATCTAATTATTCAGTGGCTGACAAAAGGGGTCGATCATCTCAAGAGCTCAAATCGAGATTCAATTCCCTGTAAGACTCTTCTTTTTTGCTTTTCCATTCGTAGCTTCATATTTTTGTGTTCTTATCTCTCTGCAAGAGAGAATGAGACTGAAACAGTAAGCAGAGAGTTAAATCCTGTCTTATGTTCGCTTAATTTTCACTCTCGTTCGATTATTTTTCTTTTCGGTGCATATTTAGTTCATCATCTTCTTCTTCTTCCCCTTTGTGAGATCTAAAAGCATGAGGTGTGTAAAAACTCGCTTCCCCCTTCTAACCTTTGATTATCGGTGTGATACTTATTTCTTTTGGTGAATAAAGTCGTTGTTCTGGTTCTCCTTTTTGCTGATCACTGTGATTTGCTTTCCGGTCGTTGTATAGTTTGTTCTGTTTCATATATTTACATGTAAAAAATTTGAAGCTCTTATCTACTTTTCCGGATTTTTTTATTTTGTTTGTGGATCTCTTTGATATGTGGTTGATTGTGGCCGATGAGAAAATCTCTCATGAGATGTAATCAAATTGCAGGAGGATGAGAGGTTGCAATGAGGAGGTGTGCTGCTGTTTTTGTCTCGATTTCAAGTATTGTTCTCAGCTCAGAGGGAAAGCAGAGTCAGAGGTCAGCTCCATTGCTGAAAACAGATTGATAAGTTTCTTATGTGGTAGTTCTTGAAGCTCTTAATGAGTTAAGAAGTCGAGTCTTGAATGTGATCTTGGATGCATTGAAAAACGATAGTTTAAACTTAGATGAAATGGGAGGTGTAGGAAAAATAATGCAAGTTAAAGAAGTTGCCATATAAGTTAAACATAGCCGGAGAAGGTAATTTTAAATAAATTGTAAAGTGATATTTTAAAACGAAATATTGACATTGGTGAGCAACCTCAAAGCCACTTGTTTGTTGATTGATAGTTAGCGAAATTATCTTAAAATGCATGATGTGATCCGTGATGTTTTTATATCAATCATTTTAAGGTATCACTACATGTGTTTGTTGGAGAGTAGTAATATACCATTGATGAGTTGGATTGATAGCTTATGTATTTATTTAAAGTCTAGTTACCAGCTCAGTAAGAATGTACAAGCTCCATCGATAATGTTTATGAGATGATGATGAGATCCTGGATATGAAGAGGATGGGAGGTGTGGGAAAAATTGATATTTGTCAAAGTTGTTAAGTTTATTTTTTTATAAGTGAAATATTGATCAGTGGGTCATAATGTTGTTATTGAGGATTTGTTGAGACTTTTGTTTTTGTACAACGAAAGAAACATGAAATCAAATATTAACATGACTAAGATATCTCTGTCTTTTATTTACCTTTTTTATATGGTTAGTAAAAGTACATTAGTATGCCTGATGTTGCCTGTTCATATCATTACTTCGCCTTTTGTTTGTTACTTGATGGTTGTAATCGGAAATAATTTGGTATTTACGATTGCTTTCTTGATATTGTCGTATCGATTACAAGTGATCATCATCAGCTTGCTTTAGGAAGTGATGATGTCTTCAGAGTTGATGAAGATGGTCCAATGTGATAATCCTTCATATTCCAGATTAATATGTTCTTTCAGGGAGAATTATTCTATGCAATTCCCAGTAGCAACTTTAGGGAATGAAAAACTTGAACTTGGACCTTTCCAAAATGTATTTTGAGTGAAAGGTGTTGTGATCATGCCTTATGAATATGAAGGATGCCCTAGAGATTAAATTTGTCATTAATCCAATGAAGTTGGGTTCTTTAAATCATTTCATCTGTTCACAATGGATTCTTCTCTGTTCGCATCAGCATGTCCCCTCACTCATCGAAAGGCCATGCCCCTGAATCGATCAGTTCTGAATCTTACACTTCAATGCCCCACAATCCTCAGTGGTATGCCCCGAACTTCTTATGTGGTAGCTAAACACTGCATTAATATTATAACCGTTAGGAAATGGGGATTCCTTTGGCTTGGACTTCACTGGAGTCACCAGGTTCCTCTCAACCAGTAATAGGAGCAATTCTTCATATATCATCAGAATCGAACTAATAGGAGTCTTTTCTCGGATCACCTTGTGGTATATGGTCCCATGATTAACTGAAAAATATCTCACTGTGTTGACCTCAGCTCTTGTATCAGCGTTGTCAGTGCCTCTATCTTATCATTCTTGATAGTTTTTCGATCATTTTTCCACAAATTAAAATGTCAAAGAAACTCTTAGTGGCAACCCTTATCATGTGATCGATATATGAAGACTTCAATGTGTTAACGAACAAAAAGGTAAATTTCGTTATAGTCACTTACATACGTACTTGGGTTATGCTAGGTTAACCGGTTAACCTGTAATCGAATCGTTAATAACGATTAACTGTTTATTAACGGTTAGGTTATTATTAGAACAATCTTACAAGTGTTATAACTGTTAACCGATAATTTAGATTGAAAAATACGATTAACCGTTGATGAACAACTCTAACTATAATTATACGAATGGTATCACTTGTAATTGTATTTATAATCTCAAACATGTATATTGATTAAATAAATGTACACAACTTTTAATAAATGTAACACATAAAAGATATAGGCCTTCTTCAGTATTTCCTAGAATCACATATTTCAAAACAATAGAATCTATTAACCAATAATCCTATACTATTTTCCAAAACGGTTCCAACCAAACCAATACAAAGCTAATAATATAATAATATACTTACTGATTTTTTATATAGTTTTAAAATATGTTAAGAAAATGTAAAGTTAGTGGTTAAATAATAAATACTACAAAACAATTGGAATCCATTTCTACCGACATGAAACAAACGAGACACGACAAAGTCCAAGTTTTTCCACCCACAATCCTTTCTTTTTCCCTTCTACTTTTTACCTTTGGAAGAATATTTAACATGGCACGGCAGACCAAAAATTATACAAATTTTATAAGTTCGTCTCTTTCTAAATTTTTATAAGTTTATCGCCCCTAACATAAAATTTCACGTCTGTCCCTAGTTGATGTGATAATTTTTTTTATTTTTTTTAATGATAATATGACATTATATTATGGTGATATGTCAAAGTTACCGTTATTTTTTAACAATGGATAACCAAAACGTAATTGAGTATTATTTAGATAAAAAGAATTTGATGATCAAATAGAAAAGTGACTAAATATAATTTTCTCTTAAATTTTTATATTTAAATATTTAATAAATTATTGTTGTTTAAAAGTTAAACAAATTTATCCTTATTGAAATCGAGCTCGAACTCTAATATTCAATAATTTGGGGGGGGGGGACTTTGTTCAAGTGTTGTCTATTTCGTTTTGAGTACAAAGAAAAAGACATCGAAGCCACCCTTTTTGTTGTTGTTTTTTTGTTTGTTTGTTTCTCTGTGCTAAAGGCTGGAAATGAAAACGAAAGGTTTGTGGTTGGTCTACTTCTTCCTACACATAACCCTACAACCATCTAATTTAATGCATTTCCTTTTAGAAGGTGAAATTCAGAGACTGAATAGGTAAATGTTATATCCTACCATGGAACCTTTCCTTTTTCTTTTAGTAAATAATTCCTTTTCTTGTCACGGGCATACGGTCTACATATCTCAAATGATACATATTCAAAATCGGTTAAAGAAACTATTGTTTTCTCTAAAGATACTGAGTTCGAGCAGTTGCATCTGCAATATGTATGTATTATCAATGGTTAAAAATTATGAACAGATTATACACTGTAATCACCCAATACTATTCAAATATATAATATAATTGATTTATTTGGTAAGTTTTAATTAAGTTAATATCATTATTGTTGTAATATATAAGAGACACATGGACTCGGGTGTGTTTAAGCATCATTTTTATAAAAAAAAAATTATGCTTAAATTTATTCTTTGGAGGAAAAATAATTAAATCTTTAGGGTTTAATTAAGACATGATTAGTTGGGGGTGGTGTTATTAAAGAAGGAGAAAGCTTGTTTTGTGCATGTGGAGGTTGAAAAAGGAGGGAGGGGTGGTTGGCTTAAAACCAGAAAAATGACTTAGATAATGTAAATGAGATTTTTTAATTTTCAATATAATCCAGCTCGGGGACTATTTCCTCATCTAGAGTGAATTGAACAGTATCAACATAAAGACTCCAGGTGTTCAACGCGTCTTCAAGTTAAATATGAAGATTCCATGACTACATGGCGTCTTTAGACAAATGAAGAAGACCCAATAACTACATGACGCCTTCAGGTAAATTGAGAAGATCCCATGAGTGCTTGGCGTTTTCAGACCAATAAAAAACCCTAATTTAAAAAATAATATGATGGATGTCTTATATGAAAAAATTATTTTTTCCCACAACCCTACACTGGCTAGGAAGCCGCTTAAAACCCTTTATTTTTATTTAACTAATAATTTCCCCCAACAAAAGTAGTTATGGAAAACAACGAACTCTCTATCCAAATCATTTCCCCTAATCTTACATGGAATTCCATTTTCAATTTAATATATGTATAATCCATACCTACTTCACATGGAGAAAAGAACTATTAGAGAAGTTATTTTAGATTAAATTTGAACTGTATTTCTTATTAGTACATCAGAAGTTTATTCACTTATAAATTAGAGATATTGCATATTAAACATATATTTAAATTTATTTTTAGATAATATAATAACAATTATACCTATAAAATTAAACTTAATAAATTTATATAATTTTGCATAAGATCTCGAGATTTTTAAAGTTTTTTTTCTAATATATTTTAAAACTTATTCGAAAGTAATATCGTCGTTTACTTCACTTAATTACACTCTCTCGATATAATTATCGTTAAATTTATTACCATTAAAATTTATTATCAAACAACCATATCTGTCGGGTATTAATTCATCAATAACCATTAACTCTAAAACTGATACACGGCAATCCATTGCTTATCAACCTTTGTATTCCTTCTCTCTCTAATTTTTAGATAAATTGTGATCAGGGATGAACGGAGTGGGTCGGGTTTTCAGTCAATTTGACTCGAATTTAATATGTTCTTTTAAGATAATATATAAATTGATCCAACTCGAAATAATATATTTATAAAAAAATATTACTTTTATTCAAAAAATATGGATCTAATTGAAAATAATATATAAATGGATCTTATTACAATTATAACTAAATATATAAGATAAAATTATATTTTTTGGGTCCAATTAAATCGAAAATTTTTCACTCTAAATCCGAACTCGATCCGTCCCGAACATAATCTATGAAAATAACTCAATCCATCAATCATGTTTATATTATTTTTCCTTTTTGTGTGTAATGTAATAATCAAGAAAACGCCAAGGACACTATGTCCTCACAAAATTTCACTGTAAAAATAAATAAAGTTGAAAAAGACCATTGAGTGTTTGGAAGGAACAGGATATGTCTGACCCCCACCTATACCCACTGCTAGAGATGCATAGAAGCAGGATTTCAATTTGATTCGGATCGAATAAAAACATATCCGGTTTTTTTTTCAACCCAAAAACCGGATTTTAAAAAAATCGGTTCGGATCCTAATCGGTTTGGAGGGTCGGATGGTGTAACCGGTGTAACCGGTTTCAGTTTGTAAAAAACCGGTTTAAAAAAAAACCGATTTTTTCGGTTAAAAAACCGGTTTTTTTAAAAAATCGGTTTTTTATCCGGATAAAAAACTAATTTTTTATCCGGTTTGAAAAAAAACCGATTTTTAATCCGGTAAAAAAACCGGTCGTTCAATTTTTTCTCAAACCAATTATACTATCCGGTTTTTAAATATCCTATCCAGTTTAAAAAAACCGGTTTTTTCAATATCCGGTTTCGGATATTTTTTACCCAAAATCGGATATTCGGATTTTTTGTGCACCTCTACCCACTGCCCACAATTTGCATTGGGAAAGCATCGCAAGACCGACTTAGAATAAAACTTGATCCTTGAAACATTTGAGATTTAAAATTTTGAGATCAAATTTTTTAAAAGAAAATGATAAATATAAAATATTTGAATAATTAAGTGATTATTTTATAAATTTTGATAATTGAGTGACTCAACATACTAATTACCTATAGTCAGAAGATCATTTTATAATTTTTAATAGTCAAAAAATTCAATATTATATAATCAATGATCATTTATGTACCTTACCCCATATCTAGGAATGACAATTTAACCCGAAATTGATGGATTCCGATTCAATTCGATAGTGTTGAATATTTTTAAAAATATTTCAGGGTCGAATTGGATCA